TTTAGTAAGACTAGATAAAGGGGGACTTTACTAAGGAGCGTTCCTTTAAGACTATAGGGAAAGAAACTTAGTCGTTTTTAATACTTAGAAAGAGGGACGGTATACTAAACTCTATATATTCCTATAAGTATAGCGGTAGTTTCTTTATATCCTCTAAGTTCTTTATAACTTTACCTATATACTAGTCCCTTATACTACTTAGTAAGAAGGGTAGGAATATAGCTACTTAGCCTTAATAATAATCTAATACTAGGTTAAAAGTATAGTTAAGCTACGCCTTAAGATAATTAAGTAGCGATACTTAAAGGTTAAAGTAATTCTAAAGTAAAGATATAGAGTAATATAAGAAGCCCTATAAATAGATAAAATCTTATACTAAGACTAGTATTTCTTTAAGCTAGATAAGAGGATAAGTATAAAAGGCTATATTAATAGGCTAATATATAAAATCTAAGCTATCGCAGCGAATAAACTTAATTATATATAAGCGATATTATAGGGTAGCGGAGTTTCCTAGTAGTTTAATAGTAGGGTTAAATAACTATAAAGGATACTATCTAATTAAGGTTTAATAAGTTTTAGTAAAGTCTTTCCTATAAGGATTCCTAGGTATAAATAGATTTACTAATATAACTATATTTTTCTAAGAGATTAAGAAGAATAAGACCCTTAGGAAGTCCTAGAAGTAGTTAACCTTTAAGATAGGCCTAGTAAATAGAAACTATTACTTTTAAAAGATATAGAACTAGCTTATATAGTAAGGAAAGTAAGAATAGAGCTAACTATACTAGCTACCTTTATAAAGTAACCTAACCTAATCGCTTAAGCTATATACGGTTTCTTTATAAAACTCCTCCTTAAAAAGACCCCTAACTATTTAATCGCGCTAATAAGAATCGAGAATAAGCTTATACCTTCGTTACCTTAAGCGTTAACTAAATTAAGCTCCTTATTTAAACTAAGTAGCCTTTCCCTAAGTAACCTTAAGATAGGATCCCTACCCTAGAGTCTATAAAAGAGAAAGCTAAGCGCCCTTACTAGTCCTTTTATCTATATAGAAATAATACCTTTATTTTCCCCCTTAAATATATAGCTAATTAAGCCTACTCCTTACTTACTACTAATAACTCCTTTAAATATATAAAGGAGTAAAAGACTTATAACTATACCCCCGCCGATAACTTAATAAGAAGCTAGTAGGGAAGAAAGGTAGATAGCGCGGCTACTAACTTACCTTAGGACTTTAAAATTACTAGGCGCTCGGTTAATTACCTTAAGGCTAAAGACTCTAGTAATGCTTATAGCACGCCCTATTACTCCTTAGAAATAAAGTATAGTAATAGCCTCTTTAACTATAGTCCCTATAAGGTTTATACTTATCACGAAAAAGATATAGCCGCCTATTAGATATAAGCGATAGCGTTAATTAACGCATATAGAGTACGCGACACACCCCCTTAGGGATATCGGGTTAATTCGTCCCGGGATACCTAGATATCCTAGACTACAGCGGGAATTTTTATATAGGCAGGCCCTATGCTAAAACCGCGCTCAATTGCGCTGGCGGGACTCGAACCACGGGCCTTCGGGTAATGCGCGCTAGGCTAGCCAGAAGAAGTGCGTGCGCAGTCACCGGGAAGTTCCTGGAGGGGTAACCCCTCCGCCCGGGCTCATAACTGTCACGAAAAAGATGTGGCCGCCTGTTAGATATAAGCGACAGCGTTAATTAACGCATATAGAGTACGCGACAATACTAGGCTTTAAACCCTCCTAAGTTAAAGGAGTTAAAAACCTAGGAATATATTAAAACTACCGCTAAGATATTAACGACTATAATTCTATATATTTCTATAGGACTACTAGCAACGCGATAATAATTAGTTTATAAGACTCTATAGCTTATTTAATCTAGCTATACTTAAAGCTATAGACTAGTAAAAACGCTAACTACTTTATTTCCTTAATACCCCTAAGAATAATAAGCGCGAATACTTAGGAGCGTATATAAGGGGTAGTAGATAATTATCTAAAAAAGGAAGTATATAAGTAAAGATAGGAAAGAGCTAAATAAGTAGCTTATAGGTAAAGGGAGGAATAAATAATATAAAGGGAAAGGATTATAATAAAGGAGAAAAGTTCCGTCGATAGTTTATTTACTTACTTATATACTTAAGAAGAGAGCCTTACCTATTATTATCGCGCCCTTTCTATTAGTATCTTAGGTTAGAAAGTCGCTAAGAAAGAGTTTAATAGGTAAGATTATACCCTTATAGATATTAGCTTATTAAAGGGATAAGACCCTTAGTACTCCCTATCTAACTTCCTTCTAAGTATACTTAAAGGCTTTATAAAGACCTTAATTATTTAATAAGGTATCTTCCTTAATTATAGTTAATTTAAATTTTTATTTTTCCCTTTTAAAGTAAAGGTTACTAGTTACGCGACTTTAGTAAAGATAAAGAGGTATATAGTAAAGAAATCTCTAAGACTTATATTAATAACCTAAGACCCTTAGAGCTATATATAGGATAGATAATTAAATAATTACGTAATATAAGGGAATACGTATTACGGTACGATTAGTTAGGTAGTAGAGATAGCTAGAGGTACTACGCTATATATATTATATTCTCCTCGTCGTAAAACTAAAGCTTATAAGAAGAGGGATTTCTCCTCTTCTATCGGAATAGCGAGTAGTCTATAATATACGAGCGGGGTAGACACGATTCCCTGCCGATACCCTACCGATATATTAGTACTACGTACCTAAGTGCTTTATTAGCCTATACCTCCTAGTAGCGCTCTTATAAGAAGAGACCCCTAGGTAGTAGCTTTTAAAGCTCGAGACCTCGATAGCTCCTTTAAGGGGCTATATAACTAACCGTATTAAGAAGACCTATACGGTATACCTAGGAGCCGTTTCTACTAGGAACCTATTAGCTTCTTTATAGCTAGCTAAGTAGGAAGAAATCCTTAAAGAAGCTAACTAATACTTCCTAATAAAAGCTCTTTCCGGCTAGTAGCTATAGGATATATCTCTACTAATAAAGCCTATTAGTAATAGTTACTCGACTATCTTTCGAGAAGCTAGCTAGGAACTAGACGAAGAGGCTACTAAAGTATAATAGTAAGCAGTCTTATTCCTTTATAGCTAGCACTTAACCTAGACGGTTTAACCTGCTGCCCCTATAGCTGCTATAGCCCCTATAGCTGCGGTTACCGCTGCTGCTACTGCGGCTGTTACCCCTCTAGCTCCTCCTCCCTCGAGAGCCTTAACGCCGTTATTAACTATAGCTACGGCCCCGGCCCCGGCTCCGCCTTCTACTCCGGGCCCGGCCCCGACAGTCCGTTCGGCCCGACTAGTCCCCTAATAGACCTTTTAGTCCGTTAGTCGAAAAATCAGGGAACTAGTCAAAATCGAACCTCGTTAAAATTAGCAATAAGGGGTAAAAAGGGGGGGTTTTTAAGCAGACCTTCTAGATCGGGATAAGGATTCCTCGAAGAAATAAAAGACTAGATAATAAAATAGCTACCTAGCCTATAAATCCCTAGGCTATTAATTATTATAATACTAGTAGGTCTTTGAGAAAAACCGACCTAAAGGATTTAACCCTTTAAAGAGGCTATAAGAAACGATATAATAGTCTCTTAAGGAGGACCCCTTATTATAGAAGATAGATAAGATTCGGGTTACTAAGAAATAGTAACTAACGCTGCTGCCCTTATTTAAGCCGTAAATTTAAGAAAAAATCGTTATTATAGTAAATCCGGCCTTTATCTTCCCTACGGATTAATAAGGCTAAGACTAACCGTTAAAGCCCTCCGATTATCCCCTACGAAAATTAGCTATCCTCGACTCCGGTGCTTCCCTTAATATCTATAATATACTCTTACGATTCCGGTCCTTTAAGAAGGCACGGAGGGAATACCTTATTACCGGGGAATTAACTATATAGATAGAGGGATATAGAAGGGTGAATTTTACGATAAAATTACCTAACGGGTCTATATAAATTCTTCGACGAAAAAGGGTAGCTTTTTACCCTCGATTTTTAAGGAGCCTAATTTCCTTCTACCTTCTTCGAGAGGAAGGAATCTTCTAGGATACGACTACTAAGCCTACGAGGCTAGTCTAAAAGAATTAGACGATTAGGGGTAGGTATAAAGAGGGGCGTTAGATAGAGGAAAGAAGGATAATTAAGGTAATATAATAATTACTCCCCTACCGTAATTACTGCCCCCGTAAGAATTAAACATCTCTGCCCTGCCTATCCGACCCCTTACTTCTAATTTTACCTTCGTGTATTTTATATATACTTCTTATATCTCTCTTTGCGAGAGTTATAGCATTATAGCGATAGTAGCTTATCGTTATATAGCCCGAAGGCTGTTCCGTTATATAGCCCGGGGGCCGTTTCTGCCCCGCTATAAGGGGGGACTATTAGAGCTAGCCGGTTAGGGCTAGCGGTAGAGCAGCTAGATCAGCTAGGGGGGGGGGAGCGGGATTTAAACCCACGACCTCGTAAAAGAAGCGGGTCTTCTAGGCGCTTCTACTATTACGCCATCCCCTACTCTTTCCTTTAAATTACACCGAAAAACGCTACTAATTAAGGTAGGGATACTCTTCTAGCCCGAACGCGAGTCCGCCTTAATTTTTTTTAAAGCTCTTATAGATCAGGGCCTAAGACCCATAAAAGTTAGCTAAATAGCGTAACGAGTTAGACGGTTAATCCCCCCCTAACTTAAAAGTTTAATCCTTAGAACTACGCGTCTCTAAGCACAGTGCAAGCAGCTGATCAATGAAGGCTGATTCCCCTTGTTCCCTTATCATAATAGCAGTAGATTCACCTACTGCAATCGTAGAGAAGCAATTTTCAAGTTGGACGGAACTGTCCTTTGCATCGCGATGCAGAGCTTGGTCAATGTCAATTTTAACGTCCTCTCCATGTCGGCTGCCCATAGCAGCAGTGCCATCTGGTATCTAAATGTTTTTAAAACGGTCAGCTAGCAAGTCTTGCGGCAGTTGCTACATAACTCACCTCCTGAACATCAACCATAATCTGTTGGGATACCATAATGCCACCAAAAAGCTGCTTGTCCTGGCCTTGGGGAGTAGCATCCACGGTCTGCGTCGTAGGCGACGTACGAATAGCAGGCGATGAAATGCTTGCGGAATGGCCCTTATGGCATTCATCGAAGCTGATCCTATCACTGAAGTTGCGTGGCGGGCTATGGCTGAAGGCGGCCGTCGACAACTGCTCTTGACTCCTTGCCGACAGCTGCAGACTGACACCCCGGCTATGGCCACGGTCAACTCGAATCTTCTGTATCCAAGCATGGGCACGGCGTGAGGATGGTCTGCCCGGATTCTTGTAGAAATTTGCCGAAGGGATATTGTGCAGGATGGACGACAGCTCACGGTGCACCAGGTGGGAGAATTCGACATGGTGAGGCGAGTCTCCGTAGACCAGCTGCTGCACCCGGAAGAAACTCAGTGGAATAAACTCGCAATGTGGGAGGCACATCATCGTGTGAATGGGAAGAACCATTCGGAATGTTATAAGAGAGCAGGCCGTTGGCCCGGCACTTCCCTCGCGAGAAGAACAAGGGGCCTCGATGACTTGGGACATGAGGGTGGCCTGACTGAACGCCACATCGTCTAGGGACTGTCGAAGAGTCGATATTGCATCTCGTACATGGCAGGCAAACCTGGCTTGACGGGGAGAAAGGCCACCGTCGCTGCTGAGCTTGCCGACGATGGCCGATGGAGTAAGGCCCCGAAGGCGGGTGATGAACTCTACCTGCCACGGCTCGAGCCGTTCCAGGGGTAACGCAGCGGTAGGAAGAAGGTTCTTGGCCTCTTTTTGGACAAGGACATCAAATCCGCAGTGGTCGAGCCTTGCTCGAATTGCAAATATCCCGAGATGAACCCCGGGAATTAGGGTGGCGCCCCTTTTGCGATTTGACGACATGCTGTTCAAACTCGATGCAAAATCAGGATTCATGATTTGCATGCTAGACCGGATGCTGCCAACCACATGGCGCACCTCTGCAAATCGATAACCGGCCGCTTCCAGCTTGTCCAAGTCTCTCCTGGAGCTGATGTGGCGGACAAGGAACATGAGACAGCCACGGCCGTATTGTTGATGCATTGGGGCGAGCCCCTTTTCAGCCAGACCTTCAAGTATTGATTTGTCTCTGAACCCCCTTTGCAGCTGAGGGGAACGCCCGGGTGTTGCGGAGTCAAGCTGGGACGAGGAGGCGTGATTCGTATTGTTGCCTGTGGCGAAAATTTCTTCCCATAATGTGCCAGCATGGACGAGAACATCCTTCATTTTGTAAGCCAAGGCGAGAGCGGCGAGGCTAAAAAGTTCACAAATAAGATGGTCGTAGTGCCGCACCAACGACCCGTCCTCCTCCACGAGCTTGACTCGCATCCTGCTGTTGTACCTGTCTTGCGACAGGTGGCCGATATGATTTGCCATCTTATCGGTCAGGGCCGCGACGCTGGTCCAGTTTCGAGACGCACGGTACATCCAGTGAAAGAGCGGATGAGTAGTATCAAATACTTCGTTATGCGACTGCCACGGCAACGGTTAGTACTGGAGCGGCAGTCTTCGACTCGGGTCGGGCCCATCGCCACTCACTCTTGATACGAAGGTGTCTGTGACCACTTCGCTGGGAAGAAAGCCTTCCTGGTTCACCATTATCCTGCCTTCCTCATCGAAAACGGCTGCAGCCAGCACGACCTGCTGTGACTTGCTGGCATAGTCTCTCCTGATCCAACCGGAATAGATGCCGCTTATGGTCATGACGGCACAGGCGGCAACAGACTGTTACAGGTTAGGTGACGGATACGGGATGCCATTTCAGCTTTCGACGGGGCCAAGTCTTACCAAGCAGATCACCATGATCAACGTCTCACGCCGAGACATGCCTTCCTTGACGGAATGTACCTGAAGCAGCCGGTAGCTGGTGCCGACGGCGGCGCACCAGTGCATTCCAGAGACAGCTCCGGCAAGGACCATGGCGCATCCGACTCTCTTCCACCAGACGACTTTCCACGCCGTCTCAAAGACAAAGAAAAGAGCCAAGGCCGCGGTACTGGCAGACACAGCAATGAGGGCTGCGCCAACAACATAGCCAATTTGGTAGGAGGTTTGATAGTTGCTTATGGACGCATCGGCCAAATAGTGCATGCCGCAGATGGCACCGCCAGATAAGAGGCCCGCGAGGCCTATCCGCCACCAGCGGATTCGACCATTGACGCTGACGGCCAGAAAGGCGAGGAGGAGCACGAAAATGGGAACAAGTAATGACAAGACGGTCATGCCCGTAGAGTAGGCGATTTGGAGATCTTCGCGGCCGTCAAGGATGTAAATCGCTCTATTTCCAATGAAATGCTATGATGGTGGGAAGCCGCAGAGGTCAGTTCAGTTGCGACATATCGATAGCACTATAGGGAGACCACCTCGGACTTCGTCAACTCGGGGTCGCTCACCATGGACCAGATTGCGATGCCTCCCATGGAAATGGCAGCACCGACCAATAGCAACCTAATCCACCCTGATCAGCCGCCACGAACGGATTAATGGACACCCCGTGAGACTTACAGGTTGTGAAGGCCCCTGTGAGAAGTGCGCCGGCGCATCAATTCCAGTGTCGAGCCCGTACCGATGAGACTGATTGCGTAGCTGAGACAAACAAAGCCAGGGCGGAATGAGAGCGGCACCAGTCGGCCGGAATACTTCGCGAACAGTTCCTGAGTTGACGACATGTTTGCGTTAGCCGTGCGAGATGATTGACGTACACGTCGCCACGGGGAGAAACAGCAGTAGAGCTACTCGTCACATTTATCTTGACTTGAAAAACACGACGGTGTGTCCATTGCAGATTGGGATCAATAGTACTAGTCTCCTGGCAGGATTCGACGCACGGTTTATAACAAAGGAGGGCGGACCAAGCGGCTGGAGAGGCAGCGCTACGTGCTTTAGTCCATCCGAATAATCGGTAACTCAAAGCCCGGCCCCATCACACGTGCGGTGAGCGGAATGGAGAAAACGTCCAGGGGAAGCCGTTTGCCAATTATATCAACTCGTGGTTTGGCTGGGACCGAATCGGGAATGCCCGGCAACGCGAGGTATATAGCGAGGAGACATAATACTCCGCGCGGAGGGAACCCGAAGGTTCGGACTTGGGAGTGTCAATGCGGCAAACAGCGTGCTCTCGAGGGCGGCAGCTTCATTACGCTGAAATAAGCACAACCAGTCTTGAAGGGTCCCAGCCCGGTTGGTACTGCTAGGTGTCCTCTCAGCTTGGTCAATAGTGCCAGAGCGGAGCAGTCCATGGCATGCTGGACTGGATGCAAGCCCCTCTTCCCGTTGCTTTTCCCCAAGCTAGCTGTGTGTACGTACACGTATCATCATGGATGATAGACTCGTCTAGCATCTGATACAACGTGAATTCGGCTGATGATGCGGCATAATCGGATTGTCGACCAGCTGTTGGCTCTTCTTCGAAATCGAGGCCGCGATGTAAGCTATATAGACCGTGCGGCGTGAGTGTGCATGTGAGCGTCCGCGCCCGCCACCTGTGAGGTCCGCTCAACGGTGAGAAAACCGGAATCGCTGTGTTGATAGCCAGGGCGACTTTGCTTATCTTATGTCTCACCTAGCTGCTCTGCTGTCAGTAGAGCGGCACAGAGATGAGCAAGCCACGTGGAAGGGGGCCGAGACCTTGAACCCATGCCAATGCGCCGGCCGCTCCCCTGCCAGCTTGCTTAATAAACTGATCAAGGGTCCAAGCGCTCCACCCCCGTTGCGGGATAAACGGGCTCGGGGGAATATTGACGGATCACAAGTGGCTCCCCCAGCGACCTCGGCTTGGATCCTGCCTGCGTTAGCGGATGAGGGAGCTGTGCCATTTCTTCTCGTTTTGCTTTTAACTTGACTCGGTCGTGCCAGCATACCCATGTTGCTTGCGCCTTGATGCATACACCCAGGATGCTACACGGCCGATTAATCAACAGAGTCATGCGGGGGAAGAAAAACACGCCCTGTCGACGCCGGTGATGACCGCTGCCCCCCCCCGCATGAGAGCCAACGGCTATGTTAAAGCCTTTGTTCACATAGTGCCGTTTCGACGAACCACTGACCAGCGACGCCGCTTCTCGCGCACTCACCAGTTGACGATGGGATTTTAGTATCAACACACAGACCGCACGGACGCCACTCCCCTCGTGTTGCCGTCTTTGTTGTTTCTTACCTGTCAAGTATTGGTTCTTCGACCGGGGCCATGTACGTTTCCTACACGTGAGAACCAGCGCGAGATCTCGCCATAGGTAGGTGACCGTCAGATCTACCTAGGCTGAAAAGGATACCATTGGTTCAACACGCTAGGCGGCCCAGAGTTGTCTGCTCGTGTTGCCAATTAGAAGGTTTCGAGGCCTGGCCTGCTCAGGAGTTTACCCTCGGCTGCGGCGTCTTCGTACATAAAGGCGTCAGCGCGACTTGCCTGAACTCAAGCCACCAGGTACAGAAGGTGGCCTCTTGACTCCGTCACCTGCAGTGCTTCGGGCGCAGCATCAACCTTTTGACTGCTTTTCGTTGGCTGTGTTCGTCTTCGAGAAACGTTCTGGGCTTTCACAAAAGGAAAGAAGCTGCCGCCCGCAGAGCACAGGCAAGAGGCGTCAGACCAACACCATCGTCGATGCAAGATGCGCATCTTGTTTCTCTGCACGGCGCACAACTCGCTTTCGCAGCGGCTGTCTCTAGCCCTGTCCCGGGACCACTCGGTGACTGTTGAATATGCACTCTCAGAGGCGATAATGGTAGAGGCAGTTGACCTGGTCAAGCCGCACCTCGTCATCTGCCCCTTTCTCACCACCAGAGTGCCACAGCAGGTCTACAACCACTACCTGACCTTGATCATGCACCCCGGGCCGCCGGGCGACGCGGGCCCTAGCGCGCTGGACTGGCTCCTAATGGGAGACGACGGGAATGAGACGGACAGCGATAGATTGCTCCTCAATGACGCCTTCAATGCGTCTGGACGCAGCTATTGGGGCGTGACTGTTCTCCAAGCAGTCAAGGAGTTTGACGCTGGGCCAGTTTGGGCCTTTGACCAATTCCCAATCAACATCAATGAGCCGGGCTTGACCAAGTCGAGCCTGTATCGAGGGCCGATCACCCAAGCAGCCGTGTCCGCAGTTATTACCGCCATCGGGAGGATTGAGGCTGCTGCGAGACTCAAAGCCACGATTCTTGGCGAACCGCTGTCGCCGCCACACTCGCCCGCATGCGATGGAGGATCCTTGTCACTGCACCACAGCCTCTATACAAACCTCATCGCCAATCAAGCATTCGGCCGGCTTTGCGTGTCCTCGACCCAACCCTTCAAAGGTGGCCAAACCCATCGACGCCCGCTTCTCAAAGCAAGTCAGCGAGAATTCGACCCGCAGCGACACAGTGCCGCCGAGATTTCCCGCAGGTTGCGGAGCAGCGACTCCCAACCCGGATGCCTGAGTACGATATTTGGTCCCAGGCTCTACCTGTATGGCGGAATCGTGGAAGACGTCACGTTTTCACTCGCAGCGAATGGAATCTTGCCTGGGAGTATCGTTGCCTGCCGTGACGAAGCGGTCTGCATTGCATCTTGCGATGGAAAGGGCGTCTGGGTCACACACGTACGGCGTGTCAAGACCAAGTCCGATGCTGCTCTGTGGCCCAAGGTTCCTGCCGTCTCGGGCCTCACGGGGCTTGGCTGTTCTACCGAGCCAGTCATGCATCCAGATTGGCTTCTCTCGCACTCCCCGCCAACATTTGGCACACGTTGGTGTCAAGCACGACACGGCACGCACCAAGAAATTTGGGTCGACTTTGTGTGCGAAAGCATGGGAGTGGTGGCCTACGTTCATTTCGACTTTTACAACGGCGCCATGAGCACCAAGCAGTGCAGGCGGCTGTCCGCGGCTCTCGACCACGTCCTGTCGGGCTCTCAGCGTCCGAGCAGCAGACGGCTGGCTGCTCTAGTACTAATGGGCGGCCGGTCATATTTTAGCAACGGAATCCATCTCAATGTAATCGAGGCGGCGGCCGACCCGGCGCAAGAATCCTGGCATAACATCAATGCCATCAACGACATTGTTGAATGCATACTGTGTCAGTTTCCCGGGCGCGGCATCGCAACCCTGGCTGCGATCCGGGGGAACTGTGCGGCCGGCGGCGTTGCACTCGCAACTGCTTGTGACACCGTCTTGGCTGGTGAGAACGTCGTCCTAAACCCGGCGTACCGCGCCTTGGGCTTGCACGGATCCGAGTTCCACAGTCTCAGCTACCCTGCTCGTTGCGGCGCAGATGGAGCCGCCCATGTTCTGCGATCGATGACCCCGCTTAGCGCTGTCGATGCCTCGCGACTGGGACTCGTCGACCATGTGCTCGCCGGATCAGACACAGTTCTCGACGCTGCGATCCGAGACCGTGTTCAAGCTCTGTTGTCTTCAAGCCGAGAGCTCGCCTCTTGGAAACAGAACGTCGATGTCTCTCCTGCCGCTCTTGTCCAGATTCGCGCAACAGAGCTCGCGCAGATGGCCATGGACTTTTGGAGTGCGCGCTCCCTGCGATACCACCAACGGCGCCACGACTTTGTGTGCAAAACGAGGTCTTGCTCTACACCCCTGCGATTCGCAAGTCATCGGCGGAGCCCAGGAATGCTTGATGAGGAGGAAGACGATCGATTTGACTCGGTCCAATTTTTCGAACAAAAGGCAAGGCAAGGAGTGATTCGAGACTTGTCGGTGCAGATGGCGAGATTGATCAATGACTTCTCGCAAATGGGCTTTGATGAGACGCACCGATGGGCTCACGGCAGCGCTACGCCCGCCACAACTCTAAAAAGCTTGGTGAACAGCCCTCCACTCGATAAATCGGATGAATCCGGGCAAGGCGCCGAGAGATATTCCTCGGAGCCTAGTTTTCCATGCTACTATTCTGTATAATCCATCAGGTTACCAGAAGTGTGTTGAATTTAATCCCGGGAACGAGCCCTCCACGGCAGACATGTCAGTAACGGAAAGACCCTCCGTATCACAAATCCATATGTGGACACTTTTGACATATGACTCTTCGTTGGGCACTGGTACTGGGGATGCCGGGGATGCAAGTTCATCCGCGAGCGGGCGCCAATGTGTCAAATTGCAATAACACTTTCTAAATACCTAGTCCGTCGGGGGCTGGAAAAAGCGCGGCGGCGTCTCGCGGTTAGCGTTGACCCAGGTCAATGTAAGGGGTGTATTATCGCGTATTTAATCTCACTTCAAAATCGACAACTCAACGTTCAAACATAAAACATATACACAAGAAGCCACACTAGACCGGAACGGACTTCGTCATCGCAGTGTGAAAGGTCGACGTCAACTCGCCAATGGTTCTTCCGTCTCTCGGCAAGGTATGTCCCTTGCCGTGGTCGAAGAGTTCGGCCGAATCCTTGTCGCACATGTCATAGAGAGCCATGGCACCGTGAATATACGGGTCCTTGCAACCGACGATATGGCACGTGGGGATGTCGATTATATTCTCGCATTCGTCTGCAAGCAAAGGCTTTACCTTGTCTCCCATGAGGTACACGGGAGGCCAACCGGCGAAGAAGACTCCACACTGTTGCTGCGTAAGTGATCGACCAACAGGTGGTTGTAGGTCGGTTTCGGAAGGCAGACGTACCTTAATTCTCCTGGGAGTCCCGTTTTCCTCCCACCTGCGTCTTTCTTCCAGAATCAAGGTGGCGGCGGCCATTGCCCCTTCCGAGTACCCCAAGATGCCCTGTGTCTCGTCAGCCAAGGTTCGTAATGACGGGCGTTTAGGAAATACCTCAATCTCGGGGTCCGAGTTGATCACTTTCAAGAGTTGATCAATCATGTTCCGGACAGCGTCGCCGGTGTAAATCTCCTCGTCCTTGAACAAGTGGCGAATGGTATCTTCGGGCGCAGAAGCTACGGGAAAGTCGCGAAGCTTCTCGGCGAACCCGTTAAGGGCTTCAGCGCCATCATATCCCACAAACTTGTACAATGGAGATGGCCCAAAGTACTCGGTAAACCCCTTGGGCGGGTCAGCTTGATGGAAACCGTCAATCCAACGGAATCGACCCGGAGTTGACTTTTCCACTTCTTGGACAAATGGCGCGAGCTGAATTTGAAAATTCTGGGTTCAAGTCAGTAGGTGGCCTTAGGGTTTGATTAAGAAGTCCAGCAATTCATACCGCGGCGCTGCCGTAGGAGCCATGCAGACAAAGGAATTTCATTGTTGTTGGTGATTGTACCCTTGGAGTACGCGATTTGGGGAGTTGGAGTTCAAAGAGCAGAAGTAGCAGAGCAGAGTCGTACTGGGCTTACTAGAATCGCTGGCAAAGATGCAGAATGATTGACCAACGTGATCCTTAGAAGTAATTTAAAAAGCTTTAGCTCGCTTGGGCAATGGATTCTACAACGTACCAGGAGAGCAATCTCGAGCTTACTTCAACCGATTTGCCCGAGAGCGGATATCGCTCAGCCCTAAATGTGGTTTGAATAGAGTTTAGCATCGCTGCAAACAGAACAGCAAGACATCCCGCAATCGGCCGTAAACATGTACTATACAGTGCGCGAAACTAATTTCCAAGACGTCTGTTGACAAAACGGTGCGCATTCAGTCAGAGCCCGTGAACGCTCTGGGTCGTAAGCCACTTCTGCGTAGCCATTTCGGCGTCCATTGACATCTCATCTTGTTGTTGTTGTTGTTGTGTATTTTGCGTCCAGCGGCTCAGGCCGCTCAGGTCTCCGCGAGGGAGCACAGGACGTGCTGAGCTAGTTACAGAGAAGTGTCCCGAATGAGTTCCCTCGAAAAAAACCACTGTCCATCTAAATGCACCCAGCGCTCGTAGTTCGCTACCCGTGAACAACCCCTTCTGTCCCTATCCAGCATTTCATCGGCTCGATGGCGCTCGTGTCAAGCCTCGTACCCGTCAGCGGGATGTCAAGGCAAAGTGTCGGTGGTCGCCACCCCCAAAGAATGGGTCAACCCTTGGTTTTGTCCGGTCAGAATTCTCTCGCTCGCAGCCAAAACTGCTGCCGCAGTCCACGCTCCAGTAACCAAGCCGTGGAAATGACTGGGAGCGGCGGCAGGAAAAACTCTTGGAGGATCAGAGGCTGGCTTTGCAGCTTGCCCTCAGGGAGAAAAACCTCCGCAACCGGCCACCGTTGTTTAGAAGGGCGGGCCAATACCCATAGCTCCTTGGTTCCGAAGAGAGCCATGAGGTCCGAGTGGACATGTTGTCGAGACCGGCTTCGCAGAGGAATATGAACTCTCCTAAGGTCTTCCTCTGTGCTGTTAGGGTCACGATGGACCCCGCAGCAAAAGCGCGGTCGGGTGGCCTGTAGATCCTGTCCCGGCTAACGAGCCACTAACAGCTCCGCGGGGTGAAGAATTTTTACAGGGGAGAGTTGTTGACATCTCATCGAGACCTCACCGGACCGTCTTCAGGGTAAGCTCGGAGAGAGTGGCTTACAACACGAAAAGGCAATCTCCGGGTGGGTCGAGAAGTACGGAATATTCGTCCGAAATGCTCAGCTATCGTACAGTGTTGAACTTGAAATCCCCACCTCGGCCGCCAAGGTGAAAAAAAGGTTGCATGATGATGATTGCAATTTTACCGACGGATGGGGCCGGACCAACGGGCACCTTTCCTTCTACGTGGATAGGTACGCCGCGTAGATCGCCGCCTTCACGTGCCAATGCCGCTGTCCTGAGCGTATGGGGGCTTTCTATGGTTGTCTTTATTGGTGCCACCTGGCCATCGAAGGCGTTGGGAGACGCAAAGTGGCCAGACATCCAGCTCCCGATCCAATCGTGTCGATGACGGGCGCGGATTAGTGTCTCTAGTTGTAATGTACCTTGTAGGTCAGCTTGTCCAGAGGAATCGGCGGGCAAGGGGCCGGCGTAGAGTGGATATGACCCTGACCTGGACATGCCTCCACAGCTAGAGCGCGTGGCAAACATCCGTACCTAGATGCCGGCCCCAGGCTTGGACATTTTCAGGACTCGTTCCAGGGTAGGATAATGGATGCAAACGGCACCACACGATCGGTCCCACGCGACATGCCTCTCAAAAGAGAACGGGAGGGAAGGGGGGGCGGAGTAGGGGCTGCCGGCATAGAGAAACATAGGGCCATCGAGATACTCAGGCTCTGGTTGGGGCGGCTTGCTGTGGGACGCTCTGGCGAATGCTTGGTTCTCCAAAGCTAAACTAGCAGAAGATCCAGCGTCGCATCCAGCGGCAGAGATCTGTATACCGGCGCCAAAATTCTTCATTCACTTCGGGCCGATTGTGTGCGTTTTAGCGCCACAATAGGCAGAGTCGGTGGAATCAACTTCAACTCAAGACGGTGTCGCGGACGAGTAGGCGCTAGAGATGCATGCAGAAGTTTTGCAACATTTATACAATAAAAATGCGTTTCCATTGTATGCGTAGTGGTTGGTTGGCAGGTGAGGCGTTGCGGCGTGGCCACACGATGTATGCAAAATGTGAGACGAGAGATAAATTTCGAGAAAAAAACGTGCAGAGACACGACTGCTTTGACGAAGACAGTCGGTTGATGTGTCATGTGGATCTACCAAGTCAGCCGATAAAATTAGACGGTTGAGCATCAGCGGCGGATGCGCCAGCCGCCTTCGACGATCGTGAATGGCAACTTCCGGAGTGATGTTGACGACTCCGAAGGACTGGTGCAAGGCCAGTGTTGTGCATTCCAAGCAGGCTGGCCGGTCCAGGCCTCCCGGGTACTGTCGATGGATGCTAACGTGCTTGCTGGGGCACTTTCAGGGCAGTCAGAAAGTTTTACAGAAGCGATTGATAGAAAATCTATGATTTTGAAAACCATTCAGGTCGAAGCATCGCGGTAGGGTTGATGGGGAGCGGCAACAAGGTACCTGATCAAGTCAACCATCTTACTGGTCAGCCGGATCCCTGGACCATGATTCGTCCCCCGATAGGAGCCACCTCCAGCCCAGCGTTCCGGCAATCTATCAATCTACCCGAGAGGCGGCCCCCACCTCTCCCTCCACTTGGCAACCTGCGAGCTTCCATGGCCTCCATGTGAGGAACGCCGGTTGCTTGGCCAGGTCAGAGGAGCAGCCAGGAGTTGAGCAGCCATCATTCGCAAAGGTCTCAAACAAGGGCACAAAGAAACAAGATGGTGTGCAGCTCCACTGTTTTCAGTCTGCCGCCCTGGACGATCCCAAGGTTGTACACGCTGCGACTAGCCGCACTGGGTATTGATCTTAGACACCTGCATTCCAGAGCGACGGCGCACTCTCCCAGCGCTGATGCAGCTGCCGCTCGACGGATGCGAATGCATGGGAGTGCAAACGAGACAAGGGACGACGGCCTTCGTTCCGAAGCCACTAACGTCTCGACGTGTTCCTGTCGAACTCCCGGCAACGGTAATCGGTCCTTCTTCAGCTCGACCTGTTCGGAACTCGGCGGACGTTCGCGGCAGAGTTCGCCAGGTATTAGGCGCCCCAGATAAAGAGTAAAAAAGGCGTCTCGGACGGCTCGTGGAAATCTAGTCCAAGATATGACGGCTCCTTTGGCCCACGGGGAATAACGTTTGATCGTAGCAACACCTCACTGCCTCCATACACAACAACGCCAGCTTCTCCTTTACCATTTGCATTGCCCTTTCCTCTTGACGGCGTCGCCACCATCGCCGACGGCCACCATGGTCTCCGACAATGGGCGAAAGCCGGCCCCTCTGGCCATAGTCGGCATGTCATGCCGGCTGCCAGGCGGTATCTCAACGTTGGATGAATTTTGGACCATGTTGTCCCGGGCTCGCTCGGGTTGGGGAGAGATCCCCAAAGACAGGTTCACGGCGGACGCCTACTATCATCCCAATCCACAGAAGAAAGGCTGCTTCAACACCCTAGGAGGATATTTTCTGGAACAAGACCCCGCCAAATTCGATGCCCCATTCTTCAACATCACTCGCCAAGAGGCCACGTCCATGGGTGCGTTGAGCTCCCGTCACTTGGGAGACTGTTTCTAACAGCCATCCTAGATCCTCAGCAACGCATGCTCCTCGAGTGCTCATACGAGGCACTTGAAAACGCCGGTATTCCCAAGGATGCTATTGCAGGCAGCAACATGGGCGTCTTTGTCGGCGGCGTGCCGTCCGATTATCAGTTTGGCGCCTTCCGTGATTTGCATACGGTCCCCATGTTCGACGTCACGGGCAACCATCAATCTATACTATCAGGCCGCATCTCACATTACTTTGACCTGCGCGGCCCCTGCTTCTCTCTAGACACAGCGTGTTCGTCAGGCCTTTTCGCCCTGCACCAAGCGGTCCAGAGCATCCGCGCCGGCGAGTGTGACTCCGCCATTGTTGGTGCTTGCCATTTGCATCTACAACCGGACAGGTGGATTACCATGTCTATGTCGGGGTACGTCTAGTCCACACACGTCGACTCGACGCCTTCTGACGCTCTCGCAGCCTTTTCTCGGAACAAGGTAAGACATACGCCTTCGACCACCGAGGCAAGTCCGGATTTGCCCGTGGTGAAGGCGTAGGATGTCTTATCATCAAGCCCCTCGACAAGGCCATCAGAGACAACGACAACATCAAATCGATTATTGTCCACACGGGTGTCAATCAAGACGGAAAGACAGTTGGTGAGCTGTACACTCGGTTCCCAACCCAGGTTGTTACTTACATGCACCGCTAGGTCTTTCGACGCCAAGCGGCGAGGCGCAAGAGCAGCTGATCCGCGATGTGTACGCCAAGGCCGACATCAACCTGGAGGATGTCGGTTTCGTCGAGGCCCACGGAACAGGTACGAAGATTGGCGACCCGATCGAAGCTAGGGCCATCTATAATGTATTTGGTGAGGGCTGCACCGAAGGACAGCCACTTAACATCGGGTCAGTCAAGACCAATGTTGGGCATCTCGAGAATGCAAGTGGTATCATCTCTGTCATCAAGGCGGCCATGATGCTCGAAAGGGGCTTCATCCTGCCCAATGTAAACTTTGAAAAGGCCAACGAGAATATCCCGCTAGATGAGTGGAACTTGAAGGTTAGTGGCTCGGCAGCAGAAACTTCTTCTACACAACGGCGACGCTTACCTTAACTCAAGGTTCCCACCTCTCTGAGGTCCTGGCCTGGACATAAGAAGTATATCAGCATCAACAATTTCGGCTTTGGTGGCTCCAATGCCCACTGCGTGTTGCAGCGGCCGGCTCTCGACTTCGACTCCGTCGTGCAAGAAAGGTCCGACGGGGTGCACAAACTCTTCGTTCTTTCAGGCCACAGCGAGGAGTCGGCTAAAGCCAGAGCGAAGCAATTGGGTATCTATGCCGAGCAGCATCCCGAAGTCTTTCAGAAACGTCTGGTTAGGGATCTCGCATATACGCTTGGTGAGCGCCGGGCGCATATGCCCTGGCGGATTGCCTTGACCGCCTCGTGCTGTAACGAGGTGGTCCAAGCCTTGAATGACGTCGACACGAAGCCTATCCGTTGCTCTAGGCCGCCTAAAATAGCGTTTGTCTTCACGGGACAGGGAGCTCAGTGGTATGCCATGGGTCGAGAACTCATGGATTCACATCCAGTGTTCGCCGACACCATGCGCGCCGCCGACGACTGTCTCCGGCGGCTCGGTGCCGACTTCTCGCTCCTCGAGGAGCTCGGCAAGGAGAAAGAACATACACAAGTCAACAAGGCCCATCTGAGCCAGCCAGCCTGTACCGCCATCCAACTGGGTCTTGTACGACTGTTCTCTTCATGGGGCATCGAGCCTGAGGCAGTCGTTGGCCATTCAAGCGGAGAGATTGGCGCCGCTTTCGCCGCCGGTGTAATCTCCCTCGACGCCGCCATGACCACCGCCTACCAAAGAGGCCAGGTCACTCTCAAGATGAAAGCCGAGCACCCCGAGCTCTGCGGATCCATGCTTGCCGTGGGTGCAAGCCCGGCAGAGGTGCGAAAGATGATTAAGACGATATCTCTGCAGGGTGCTGCTGTCGCGTGCGAGAACTCTCCTGGCTCCACCACGGTGTCGGGCAACGTCGATGCGATCGAACAGCTGGCGGCCGAGCTAGAAAGCCGTAAGATCTTTAGCCGCAAGCTGCTTGTCGATGTTGCGTACCACTCCTCCCATATGGAGATGGTCGCCAAAGATTATCACCGAGCCATTGAGGGAGTTACGGCGAGCGACGGCAGCAAAGTTGCTTTCTTCTCCTCGCTCCATGGAAAAGCTCTCGAGAGGTCATCCATGCTTTGCGCAGAGTACTGGACCGACAATCTGGTCAAGCCCGTCCTGTTTTCACCGGCACTGGAGGCTCTCTGCGCTGAAGCGAAGCCATCTGTCTTGGTTGAGATAGGTCCTCACGCGGCTCTCGAGGGCCCAATCAAGCAGATTCTCAGGGAGATGGGCCAGCAGGCAACCAGCATCAAGTATTGCCCAAGCCTGGTGCGGAATCAGAACGCCACTACAGCTGCCCTTAAGACGGCCGGTAGCCTCTTCGTTATGGGTCAATCGCTGGATTTTGACAAGATCAACAACGCAGCAGGCGAACATGACTTGCCCAAGCTCGTTGACGACTTTGCCCCCTACCCTTGGACGCACGAGCGATACTGGATCGAGCCGCGCCAGAGTCTGGAAACGCGCATCAAGCCCTTTGGTAGACACGATATTCTTGGGCTGCTTACTACTGGCTCGACTGACCATGAACACACCTGGCGAAATGTGATTACTACGGACGATATCCCCTGGCTAAGGGAGCACAAGATGCAAACCCTTACAACGTTTCCTCTTGCCGGCTACCTGTCTATGGCCGTCGAAGCTGCGGCCCAGCGTGCATCGCTTCGTCGCATCCCGTTTGAGCGGTTCTGCATGAGAGAAGTCCAGGCGACTGCGGCCCTGATTATGAACGATGGCGACGAATATGAGATGACAGTGACCCTGCGCCGGTACGCCGAAGGCACTCGCTCGTATTCCAACGAATGGGATGAGTTCCAAATCTCGTCCTGGGCACCGGGAAGGGGCTGGATCGAACATTGCCGCGGCCTAATTGCCGTGCGAAAGCCGTCTTTCAACCCCATCAGCTCTCTTGCGCAGGCCGAGAGCGGCAAACGCCGGCGTCGGGCCACGGAGCGTTGCAACGACGCCGTGACCCTGGGTTCGTTTTATGCCGAACTCGACAGCAAGGGGGCGAGCTATGGTCCCTTATTCCAGATCAAGGATAAGACGGGTATACAGTGCTGCGATGAGTACTCGCATTCCGATGTCGCAGTTCCGAACACCGCCACGACCATGCCCTACGACCACGAGACGCCTTACGTCTTACCACCTGCCCTGTTGGACTTGTTTTTCCAGCATTCCTTTGCCATTCTCGGAGCTGGTCGCCATGGCATGCCCAGCCTCTACATGCCCAACGCAATCAAGCACCTTGAATTCAGTAAAGAGCTACCTAACAAGGTTGGCGACGTATTACACGTCGTTTGCGAGGGCCACCCGAACACAAGGCACGTGATGCCGGTCGACTTCTCCATTGACGCCTGGCAGTCGCAGAGCTCGGCTCAGCCGATTCTCAGCATACGCGGCTTCACCATGACGCCGGTTCGTGATGAGAGCGTTGAGGAGGCGGTGCCGCCATCGGTTTGCTACAAGCTCCAGTGGGAGGATCTCGGCAGAGTCCAGAAGGCTCAGGCGAACAGTAGCAGCCAGAATGGCCATAACCACGAAATAAATAGTGTCGATGGACATGCTAACGGCTCTAATGGCGTCAAGGGACATGTCAACGGTGTTAACGGCGCAAACGGGCATGCCAACGGCGTCAACGGTCACGCGAATGGCAGCAGCGCTTTGGAGGCAGACTTCACGGCACCCGTTGTCATCGTCTCGGATAAGACCGAGAATGATCCCATGGTCCGATCACTCATGGACCTTCTCCTCTTGAAAACAGGAGCGTCTCCTACCGTTTGTGCCCTTGACAAGCTCGTGGCTTCGGACAAGATTTGCATCGCCCTCTACGAGCTCGACAGTCCATTCATTGCCGGCATCAACGCCAAGGATTTCGACAGGCTGCAACGCCTTATCCTGACGGCTTCTGCAGTGCTTTGGGTCGGAAGTGGCACCTCAAAAAATGCCTTGCACCCAGACAAGGCTCTGTCGCAAGGCCTGCTTCGCACTGTTCGATCAGAGACAGGCAAGCTGGCAGCGACTCTTGACCTTGATCCTGCTTCTCAGCTGGACAACAGCGCTCGCTGCGAGCTCATTATCCAGGCTCTCAAGAAGGTTATAGAGTCGGAGCACGAGGACGGGCCCAGCGACTTCGAGTTTGCCGAGGAACAGGGCAAGCTGGCCGTCCCTCGCGTAGTCGAGGACCCTGACATGAACCAGCTCATCCACCGTCAGACACAGCCTTCAGGGCCATATCTCCAGCCGTTTGAGCAAGAGAACCGCCGCCTGGAGATTGCCATTGGGACCTATGGTGCACTTGATTCGCTTTACTTCCGTGACGAGGTTGAACAACCGTTAGGCGATGATGACATCGAAATTAAGATCGCAGCCACCGGCATGAACTTCAAGGATGTTGTCATCACCATGGGACAGGTTGGCAGTCCCTATCTGGGTGTCGAGTGCAGCGGCACCGTCGCTAGGGTTGGCGCCAAGGTGACGTCCCTCTCTGTCGGTGCCCGAGTCTGCGCCATGTCGCGTGGCGCCTACGGGACCTACACGAGATGCAAAGCTACTAGCGCTGCCGAAATGCCGCAGCACATGACTATGGAGGAAGGCGCCTCGATTCCCGTCGTCTATAGCACAGCCTACTACGGCCTCGTTGACATTGCTCACCTAGAATCTGGCGAAAAGATTCTCATCCATGCCGCCTCTGGTGGCGTCGGTCAAGCAGCTATCCAGCTAGCGCAGATGATCGGGGCTGAGATTTTTGCAACAGTTGGAAGCCCTAACAAGAAGCAACTCATTATGGAGAAGTATGGGGTCCCGGAAGACCACATCTTCTACAGCCGCGACTCAACGTTTGGGGCCGCCATCCGCGAAGCAACTGGTGGGGAGGGTGTTAATGTGGTTATCAACTCCTTGGCCGGCGAGCTCCTAAGGGAGTCATGGGAATCCTTGGCACACTTTGGTCGCTTTATTGAAATCGGCAAGCGAGACATCACCTCTAACACCAGATTGGACATGGGCCAATTTGAGCACAACGTCACCTTTAGCTCGGTCGATCTGACGCTTGTTGCTGCCGAACGACCCCAGGTAATGGGCCGCGTTCTCAACGCCGTCATGAAACTACTCGGTAGCAAGCAAATATCCGCCATTGAACCAATCACCGTCTTGGGCATCTCGGGGATTGAGTCCGCCATGCGCACCCTGCAGAGTGGCAAGTCCACCGGAAAGATAATTATTGCCCCTCGTGTTGGAGAACAGGTCAAGGTAAGACATCTCTCCGGCCGCCAGGTCTCACTCGCCATGTTAACCGGAAGTTATAGGTTACTCATCGCCGGGCTTCCGGGTTCTTAAAGCAGAATGCGACGTACATCATCATTGGCGGCACCGGTGGTCTGGGCCGGTCCATGACCAAGTGGATGGTCCACCATGGTGCGAGACACATCGTACTCCTGTCCCGAAATGGTCGTATGACTGCGGAACTGGATTGCCTGTCCCAAAAATGCAGTCAATTAGGGGCCACCATCCACGTCAAGTCATGCGACGTTGTCAAGGAAGCCAGCGTGAAGGCGGTCGTCGAGTGGGCCAAGGCATTGCCTCCTATTCAGGGCGTTGTTCACGCCGCCATGGTACTCCGAGACGTCTTGTTTGAGAAGATGACCTTTGATGACTACAACCAAGTTGTCGAAGCGAAATTGTCAGGCACCTGGAATTTCCATCGCGCTCTGACTGGTCAAAAACTCGACTTCTTCATTGTCCTGTCCTCGGTGGCCGGCATTGTCGGCAACAGGGGCCAGGCCGCCTATGCCGCTGCAAACACTTTTCTGGATGCATTTGTTCAGCACAGGACAAAGCAGGGCCTTCCGGCGACGACGATCGACCTAACAGCAGTCGAAGGAGTCGGGTATTTAGCGGAGAACTCGGCGCGTCAGAGCCAGATTCTTCAGACACTGGCTGGAAGCACCTTTGGAGAGACACAAGTCCTCGCCTTAGTGGAGGCCGGCATCTGCGGACAAATCTCTCAGTTCTCTAACAACCAAGTCATTACGGGCTTGAACTTCAATGGCACCTCGTTGCCCTTCTACGCCGATGATGCTAAGTTTGCTCATCTCCGTGACGCCCTGCTCGCGGAGAACCAAAGTTCCGAAGGGGACGAGGGCTCGCAATCCGCGTCCGCCCAGGAGGAGATGACCCGGGCGGCTACGTACGAGCAGGCAGTTGAAGGTGCTACGAACAGAATCCGGGATAAGCTCTGCGCCATCCTGATGCTCCAACCGGGCGATATAGACTCGGGCAGCTCCGTCAAGTCTTACGGCTTGGACTCGTTAAACGCTATTGAGCTTCGCAACTGGATAGGAAAAGAGTACTTGGCACATTTACAGGTCCTTGAGCTACTTACTGCGGGGACGATTGGGGACCTTGCTGCGCTGGTCTTAAAGAAGACGAAGATTAAGCACGCAGAGAAGGCGGCCTAGCCTTTCTAGACTAAGGCGAGAAGCGTTCTTAAAGTTCTTACTAAGGTCGGGCTAAAGCACCTATATAAGACAAAGAAACTAGCGGTGAATTTTCTAATGTTTAATAATATAAAGCGTCTCGCTAAATATTAAGGGCTTAATATATATTTCTATAAAACTTTATTATATATAAAGCTAGATAGTAAAAGGGTAGGATAAATCTAGTAGATTAACTATTTTAAGAGTTAAATAAAACTTATAATTAAGTATTGAATTTAATCTTTATATAAATAACTATAAGAAGAAAAAGAAAAGAAAATATAAGCTTTATACCTACTAATATAATAGATATTTAAATATATACTAGACTTAATATTTTATTTAAAGAACTATAAGCTACTAACTATATCTTAATTAATATAGTTTTTTTAATAGTACCTTTCTTAATACTATTAAGTATTTCTTTATAAAGAGAAATATAATATAAAGTAGGGTATACTTTTCTTATATATCTTCTTTTTATTTATAAAGCTATTTAGTAAGATTTTAGTTAATACTATTATATAATAACTTTTACTAATTTTATTATAGTACTTATAAAGAGTATAAATATATAATTTAGCTCTTATTATATTCCCTAGGCTTTAAAACCTATTATATAGTATATAACTTTATTTAATAGTTCCTTTATAATAATAATACTATTATTATTAAGCGGTTAGCTTATATAAGTAAGATATTAATAGGATCTCCCTTATAACCTAAGTTCTTTTTATATATAATTATAGCTTATAATAAGCTTTTACTAGTATAAGGCTATATTATAAGGGCTTTTACCTTATATAAGTCTAGACTAAAGTCTAGGCTAAGCCTATATATAAGTAGCTTCTATACTTATATAGGGTAAGCCTATACTTTTCTTCCTTTTCTCCCTTATAGATTATTAACCTTCTTTTAATAAACCGTACTTAAGCCTATACCTTTACTTACTTTATAATAGTATAATCTAACCCTCGTAGTATAGTAGTTATATACCTAGGAAGCCTACTAGCTATAACGCTAGAGTTAGTTCGAATCTAGCCGGGGGCACGATTAAGTTTTAGTAGGACTAATAGACTACGCTAACCTACTTATTAATTAGCTAATTAGCGCTTCTAAAAGCGCCTATAAATATACTAGTAGTCTAGCCCCGCTATAAGTAGGCCGGCCTAGACCTTGCCTACCCGGACCTAGCGATAAATTTATTAGGACCTCCCCTTAACCCCGGTCCGGGCCCCCCGACCGGGAAAATAAAAACCTAGGGCCGATACTAGTAACTTAATAGGTACGGCGCGAAGCCGGTGCGATAACCTAACCACCGGCCCGGCTAAAGGCTAGTATTAATAAAAAATAGCCCGCTAAGCCTTATAGCGGAAAAATAAGGTAGAGCCTAGGAAGATATCGTTATAGGATAAGGTTAAAGATAATTATATAATTAACTATTAACTATTAACTAAAAACGCTTATATTACTAATTAACGCTATATACCCTACGTATATAAAGGAGTTACTTTCTAAGGTTACTTTATAGCGGGGCTAATATAATTCTAACTAACTATAACGATACCTAAGATAGCTAGCGTAAGATTCCTATATATTATAACCGCGACCTAGTATAAGGGCGGACTAGCTATAAAAGAGGGGAGGGTTTTCTTTTAAGTACTTTAGTTTTTCCCTCTTATTTAACGCCGAAGTTCTAGATACCTTTAGATAGGTTACTAGTTTAATCTTAATAATAATAATATCTTAAGTATAGCTAGAAGTATCTTAGTTCCGCTAGTATTTATATTAAAAGGAGGTTAGTTATACTAGTATTCTTAAGATATCTTAGCTAGTATTTTAAGCTAGCTTTATTCCTTTAATTTTAGATTATATAATAACCGGTAACTTATTTAATATATAATAGTATAAAAAATAATAAGTAATATTAGTTTATAAGATATAATTTTATCTATAATTAATATACTACTTATTAGCTTATATAATCGGGAGAGTATATATAGCTACTTTATTTATAGTAGGAAAATACTATTCTTTATAGCCTCCCTTAAAAAGTAGATTTATATACTCTTTACTAATTTATTTATAGTAGTATATATATAGGGTAAAACCTTTAATAGGAAAACTACTCTTATACCTAAATAGGATATATAAAAACCTATTCTTTCTTAGGAAAAGAAAATCCTTAGGTATATACTAGTAGAAAAACCTATAGTAGGAAAAATCTATAGTTATAGTAATTATTTATAGGATAACCTTATATAAGGTAAAACCTATTATTACTAGGAAAATCCTTATAGATAAAAACCTAGTAAATATTTCTCTAGGAAACTTAATAAAAGGAAAAACCTAGTAAGGGAAAGATATAGAAAGTATAAGAAATATTTAAAACCCCCTTTTAATTACTTAGGGACTTATTTTAAAGATAGACCGTCTTTAAATATATAAAGTAATTTAGGTCCTAAAATCTTAGTAAAAATACTAGCTATAGTATCTTTTAATTTAATATAAAAAACTCTAATTTCCCCTTCTCTTATACTAATTTTAATATAATAATAAGCTAATCTTATATACTTAGACCTTTTATAAAATTCCGGATTTTCTACTAATTTAATAGTAGTAGTATTATCTATTAAAATTCTTATAAAGAGAGATATAAGAAGTATATAAAAATATATAAAGGTGAAATTAAAAGTAAGGGGTCGGATAGGTAGGGCAGAGATATATAATTCTTATAGGGGTAGTAATTAAGGTAGGGGAGTAATTATTATATTACCTTAATTATCCTTCTTTCCTTTATCTAACGCCCCTCTTTATACCTATCTACTATCTTAATTAATAAAGAAGATCCTACTTAAAGAAGCTATTAATATCCTCTTAACTACTAAGCTTTTTACTAGGGTTTCCCCTCCTTTCTAGCTATTACCGGTATATCCGTCTTATTTTTCGCTACCTCTATAAGAAGCTATTGCTACTATCTACTTCCCCTCTTACCCCTACCCTCCTCTCTATACCTCCTTTTAGCTCCTTCCTTAAAACCTATTTTTTAGCTTCCTAGGTCCCTTTTACTAAGGGAGATCTCTAAGAACTACGAAATTAAGCTACGCTTCGCGATATACCCCCTTAGCTATAGCCTGCCCTTATAGAAAGGGTAAAGCTAAATACCTAGGCTAGTAAGCGTATAAAGGAGGTCTTAGTCTATACTTATCCCTTACTTAAGAAATCTAGGTTTTAGCCCTAGGCTCTTTTAGACCTACTTTAGGAAAAAGGGGCCTTAAGGAGGATATTAAGTCCTATAAGAAAGGGGGGCTTCTCTAAGGATAAGTCCCTAAAAAGGGAGCCTTTTAAGAAGAATAAGTCTTAATTAAGCTAGGGGCCCTCTTTTAAGATAAGTCCTAATTCCTCTCTTTAGCTATAGACGTCTCCTTCCTCTTACGTACTATTAGCTCCTCTTATAGCCTCTTAAGGCGGGCCTCTAAGGATAGCTTTTCTCGAACGTCTTCTAGCCTAATTTACTATAAAAAGACAGCTAGCTTTTACTTTAGTAGGGGCTTTATAAGACCGTTAGCTTTTATTAATACTATTAAAACCTAACGGACGGAAATAAGTCCCCTTTAGACTTCTTAGCGTAACTAATATTAGTAGATATCGATATACTATAGCTAGGTTAATAGCTTACTATTTTCCTCTATAAGAATTTATATAGTCTATATATTATCGTATTTTATAGCTAATAGTAACGGAATTTATAGTTATAGAGATATTAGTAGCTAGCTAAGGAAAATCGCTTCTTTTAATACTTTTAAAAGAGCTAATAGCTCTACTTCTATACTTAAAGTTATAATAGTAGCTTATTTTAAAGCTCTCTAAGTAATAGTTCCTCTAAAAAGGGATATAATATACCCTTATAAGCTCTTTCTATTTAAGGAATTATTAATAAAGGACGAATCGCTTAAATAAAGGAAGATTTCGGTAGCTAATTTCCTTTCTTGCCCTCCTAGGTATAGACTATATAATCTCGTTAAATAGAGATAAAGGATTGCTTAGTCTACTACTTCTTAGTGCCTAGGGCTAGGATTCTAGTTATACCTAGCTAGCTAGGAGACCGTAAAAGAGATATCCGGTCTAGTAGAAATAGCTAAAAAAAAAGCAAGGAGCCTACCTTTTATTAATATTAGTATTTCTCTTACTCCCTAGCTTAAAAGGATAGATTAGGTAAAAGCTATTCGTTTAATATTAGTATAGAGGGAAGCTTCTTATCGAGGGATTTAAGGAGGAATTTATAAGCGACCTTATCGATATAGGCGTCTTAGGTAAGCTAGATAGTCTATTAGGACCTATTCCTAAGGATTCGTATCCCTAGGAACTACTTTAGCTCCCTTAGCCTAGTTATCTTATACCTTTATTATAGGCCTTTTATAGCCTCCCTTATATTTACTTCTTCCTCTTTTAGGTAAGCCTAGATAATATTATTAACGTAAAAGAAGACCGTGATTTTTCCCTTCTATATTATATAAGGTTCCTAAGGGACTTTCTTAAAGCCTAGGGCTTTAAGGGAACCTATTAAATACTATTACTAAAGAAGGGGTAATCTTTATAATCCGTATAGAGCTTTCCTAAGCTATAGAACCTTTCTTAGCTATTAGAAACTAAGAGGAAGTTATATATAGATAACTTTTTCTTCCTTAAGTAAGTAGTTAATAAAGGCGTTAACTATATCTATCTAATTAAGTTCGAGGTCGAATTCTACTACTATAGCTATAAGGGTCCGAAAAGATATTCCTACTAAGGTAGTTACCTTAGTAGGTAGATTGTTACGACCACGGTCCAGCAAACCGCGGGACCAGCACATGTCACGAGGACACGTAACGTGGGGAGCAAGGAATATTAGACGGACCGACGGGCCAATTAAGTTTAGAGCGACGGGTCACTCTAGCGCTCTAACGCTCTACGGCTAGGATCGTAGGATCGCCCTAGCGCCC